CCTCCTGGTGACACCTAGAGGAAGAGGTCTGTTTTAGTGCAGAAAGAAAACATTGGCTGTGTTGGTCTCCAAGACTATTAAGTAACTATCCTATGTTCATTTTCACCTTGAATTTGCTTCTGTTCAGTTGTTCAGTACATTTAGTCACTGGACTATTTTATAACCATTCATATTTTGTGGTTGAGAGAATGTTTCATACTAATGATATAATAACTAAAATTATGACACAGAATTTTGTACATTGTAAAGTAGAATGGAATCATGATTAAGAATGTAGACTTCAGGGTTAGAAGTGGATATAAATTAGGTAAACCTTCCCCAAACTCAAGTTTCTTCATCTGTAAAGTAGGGATAATAGCATCTGCCTCCTGTCTATGTTTGTGAAGGTTAAATAAGGTAACAAGTTGTAGTTCTTAGTACAGAACTACCACATACAAGTTCCCAGTAAATATTTATTAATACAATAATTGTAATTATGTGAAAGTGTGCTTATTTTAGGACTAGAAAAGAAAACATAATAATGACAGTAGTGCTAGGGTAGTGATTTAATCCACATAAATTTCTAAGTATTCTGTAATGTTATTTTTATTATAATGTAATATAAAGTATAAATTATTTAAGTTATAATAAATCACTTAAAGAGCAATTAGTAAATTTTAACACTGTTAAAGCATATCTGTATTTAAATATATCTCAGATATTTTATGAGAAAGTATTCCTATTCCACACTGATAAGACATAGGTATCTGTTATATATTGGTACTATCTTAGACTTGGAGGCAGTCAGACAAATGACATTAACAGCAAACTGATGATTTGAATGTAGATAGAGAGCATTTGGTTATGAGGTTGATTAAATACAACAGCTAAGTAATGATGTTCATATGTTCCAGGCACACTTCACCTTGGGGCTTTCCTTGTTCTTTACTCTGCCTGGACTCTACAGAATGCTCATCCCCTTGATCTTTATTGTCCTGTAGATAGCCCCCTAAATGTTACTGCCCCTAGCTGCCTACTTTAAAGTGGCTACTCCACTCCTCTATCATGCCATCCTATTTTCATTCTCTACATGGCTGTCTGAAATTTTTATAATGTAGTAGTTAACTGTCTGATTTCCTCTGCAAGACTGTGTGATCCACAGGATGTTGCATATTGAGCATCTCACATTTCTAAATGAACATTTTTTATATAACTACACAAATATTTCTGTTTTTTTCTCTTATCCCATGGGTATTTCTTAAGTATCTTTACCTAGTGTCATTTTCAGCAGAGTTCAGTGATTTTAAGGGCCAGATAGCAAATATTTTAGGCTTGGAGACTGGCAACTACTCAACTCAACTGTAGTAGTGAAAGCAGCCATAAACAACATGACATGAATGGGCATGGCTATGTTTCAGTTAAACTATTTTTGAAAAAACAGGCCTCCTGCAAGAAACGGAAGGAACCTAAGTGTCCATCAGTAGATGAATGGATAAAGAAGATGTGGTACATATACACAATGGAATATTATTCAGCCATAAGAAGGAAACAAATCCTACAATTGCAACAACATGGATGGAGCTAGAGGGTATTATGTCAGTGAAATAAGCTAGGCAGAGACAGACAAGTATCAGATGATTTCACTCATCTGTGGAGTATAAGAACAAAGAAAAAGTTGAAGGAACAAAACAGCAGCAGACTCACAGAACCCAAGAATGGAGTAACAGTTACCAAAGGGAAAGGGACTGGGGAGGATGTGTGGGAAGGGAGGAATAAGGGTGCGGGGGAGAAAGGGGGCATTACAATTAGCATGTATAATGTGTGGGGGGGCATGGGGAGGGCTGTGCAACACAGAGAAGACAAGTAGTGATTCTACAACATCTTGTAGAATGCTGATGGACAGTGACTGTAATGGGGTATGTGGGGGGAACTTGGTGATGGGGGGAGTCTAGTAAACATAATGTTCCTCATGTAACTGTAGATAAATGATACCAAAAAAAAAAAAAGATAACAACAACAAAAAACAGGCCTCCTGTGTATTGTAGTTTTGGTGACCCATACTGTAGAGTGTCGGGTGAAACTCAGACCTGGATAGTCACAGGAAGGAGAGAAAAGAACATTGTGATCATCTGGTGCACCCACACTGGGAAAGGAGGATGGGACTGAGGGAGGAGCCTAGAGCTGGTAATATAGCCCTACGTGGAAATGAGAAGAAATGGAAGTATAAAGATTTTTGGGCTTTTACATGAAAATCATGTGATTTACAGATATCATTGTAAAGCATCTGCCTCCTGTCTATGATGGTGAAACTTGAGATCTGACTGGCTACAGATAGACAGCCAGTCAGATCTCAAGTCAAGGGCAGCACTTCAAATTGAGCTATGGCTAAAAAGCCCAGGCTGGCATTTGAGTTATGTAATGTGCAAGGAACTGAAATTCGTTTGTCATTTAGATTACAGCTATAGATTTTGGGATATGCTGTGTCATTGTTAAAGTTTAAACCCAGGATAATCAACTGAGTAGGAAAATTATTTTGACTCCTTATTTGATGTCTTGAGTAGATCTTACTTGATCCAAGGACCTTTTTACCTGATGAATCTCTTGTATTGCATTCTCTGCAATGCTACCAAGAGGTAGAAGAGTAATGGGGAAAGATTGACCTTTGAACAACATGGATTTTAACTGCATAGGTCCACTTATATGCAGACTTTTTTTCAATAAATGTATTGGAAAATTTTTTGGATATTTTTTTTTGCAACAGTTTGAAAAAACATTTTCTTTTCTCTAGCTTTATTGTAAGAATATAGTATATAATACATATAACTTACAAAATATGTGTTAATTGGCTGCTTATGTTATCAATGTGGTTTCTGGTCACCAGTAGGCTATTAATAGCTAAGTTTTTAGAGAGTCAAAGTAGTATGTGAGTTTTCAACTGCACAGGAGGTTAGCTATCTGTTATATATTGGTGTATCTTAGAATTGGAGTTAGACAAATGCTTATGTGCTTATAAAAATGTGAGCAGAGGATTAAAGATGGCAGTGTGAGTGTATATCAATAATACCTTAATTAAAAAAATAGAAAGCTATGTGAAAACTGCCCGAGCAATCATCTTACAATCAGCTTTAGAATGACGCTGACTGCAAATAGCAAAGAAAGAGAAGATTTTTGGGTGGTTGAGAAAATTGTTGACTCACTGAATCAACCAACTCTGAAGCTCAACTCTGATCCCAACTTCCTGTTTTGTGAGCTAATAAATTTCCTTATTGTTTAAACTAGAAGAAGAAAAAAATGTAAGGGCATCTCTGGAGAGAGTCACAGAAAACTGAGTGCTGGGGAGGCTGAAGGACAGGAGATAATGGGAGATTCACCTTGCACACAATATCCTTTTGTACCGTTGAGTTTTGTATATAGTACTTAGTGGGGGGAAAAACTTAAACAAAATAAATGCAAATTAGGAGGTTTACCAGGTCCATTTTGTGATCCAAGGGTCTAGTAGTCTTTTTTTAATTTTTTCCATTTTTTTTTACAGTATTAACTATCGTCACTGTGCTGTGCATACATCTCCATGACTATTTTATAACTGGAAATTGGTACCTTCTGACATGCTTCGCCATTTTGCAACCCCCATCTTAGTCAGTCACCAGTCTTTTCTCTGTTTCTGTGAGCTTGGGTTTTGTTTTTTGTTTTTAGATTCCACATAAAAGAGAGATTATATGATATTTCAATTAGAATAATGCCTTCAAGGCCCATCTGTGTTGTCACAAATAGTAAGATTTCATTTTTTTATGGCTGAATAATATCCCATTGTGTGTATACACATTTTCTTTATCCATTCATCTATTGATGGATATATTTAGGTGGTTTCTATGTCTTGGCTGTTGTAAATAATGCTGCAGTGAACATGTGTGTGTATATATCTTTTCAAATTAGTGTTTTCATTTTCTTCAGATTAATGCCCAGAATGAGAATTGCAAAATTATATAGTAGTTCTCTTTTTAATTTTTTGAGAAACTTCCATACTGTTGGTGGCTGCACCAATTTACCTTTCCACCAACAGTGCACAAGTGTTCCCATTTCTCCACGTCAACACTTGTTATTTGTCTTTTTTATAATAGCCATAGAACATATAATTTTAAAGTGTTTTGGATTGATTCCTTTCTATTTAGAAAAGGTTAAACATATACAGCATATTTTTACATTAATTAATATCTATTTTCCCATTCTAATTCAAACAGGACTACTTTTATTGGTATACACCAAAACAGGCCTGATAATCTTAGAGAACAATTTTAAAAATGTTTTGTTTAGTTGCCAATTCCAGTAATTGTTTAGAAGAGGTCATGATTTGTGTGGCACAGTAATAATAATAGTTAACATTTCTTAGGTTGTTCTACTTTTCATATGTATTATATACTTTAATGCTCACTAATACTCAGGTGTAGGTAATATTATCCCTGTTCTACCAGATGAGGAACTAAAGCTTAGGGATTTAAAGAACTTTCCCAAGGTCTTGAAACTCTAGACAGTTGCAGAGCCAGACTTTTAAATTGAGATCTTTCTGCAGAGCCCATGCTTAAGCAGCTCAGAACAACTGCTCTGTTGTTGCTACAAATAGAATCTGGGTTTTCTCCATTTGCTTCTAATTTTCAATGAGAAAAAATAAAAATTAACAAAGTTTACTCTCTTTCTAGTAACTCTCCTTTACAGTTTAGTGCTTTTCCTTTGGGGAGTCTAATAATGTATGGCAGCAGGAGTTTCTGTCAAAGGTGATTTTTTTTTAATTCCTTAATTTAAATAGGTTAATTGCACTCAATCCACAGTACATTTGAAAATTATTTTGAGTAGAAAAAATCCTCCAAAACTGAACAGTCCCTCAGTGTGTTCTGTGTTTGTATTTGATTTTAAGGTACAATATATATACTTTAGTAGCACTTAATAAAAAACAAAATATCTTCCTAATAAAATCTATTTTTTATTAAGTTCAATGGCTAACTTTCCTTTCTTCTCATTCATTGTAGTTGAGGCAGTCCCAGTCCTACTGCACAGACACAGAATGTCTTCAGGAATGTAAGTAATGATGGGACATGAGGAGGCTTGGCATTGGGGGCATAATTAGAGGCCAGATGACAGTGAATATTTGTCAGGAATTTTTCTCACACTTTGCTCTTTAAGGAAATGGTGCTCAGGAATGTATTTCTTACTTGACTATTTTATTTTTATTTTTTTATTTTTATTTTTATTTTTTATTCATTTGATTTTTATACTTGATTTATATATGAATCCCACATTTCTCCCTTATTATTATTTTTTTTTAAATAAAATGCTGAAGTGGTAGGTAGATGCAAGATAAAGGTAGAAAACATAATTTAGTGCTGTAAGAGGGCAAATGTAGATGATCAGGTCTGTGCCTATGTCCCCTGAAATTCTTGTCCTCCCGGCATCTCAGAACATGACCTTCATTTAGAAATAGGCTCTCTCGGGTAAGATTCCTCAAGGGAGGAACAACCTAAGACAGGCACAGTCGCAGGGGGGCCATCAGGTGAGAAATTGGGGATCAACAGAGGTGAGGCTCAGAACCTCACCCCCCCCCCCCGTTTTGAGAGCTTGGACTCAGTTATTTTTTAACTTAAACAGTTATTTTTTAACTTAAAATGTTTTTTTCCTGCCTCAAAAACAAACCCTGCTGACTGAAGAAAATTATAGAATCACAGATAAGAAAAAACTTCCAGAATAGATAACTACCTTTGACAATTTGAGGTAAACCCTTCCCAGACCTTTTTCTTGCCAAATAGGTGTGTAACCAGGCACTTTGGGTTGGTTGAACTGGAACATCAAGGCTGCTAGCACAAACCCCTCACTTGCTCTCTAGCATCTGTTTGCATCCACTGACAGTTTTGGGAACTTCCGAGTAAAGGAAGGGGAGGCCATTCTTTACCAAGGTTTGAAAGCTTTCAGGGCCTGTGGAGTCATTTCTTTGGCTTTGATTAACATTCTCAGGAGGGTATGGACATTTGGGGAGGTTTCTTGATGTGCCTTCTTGGGCAGTGGTGGTGATGAAGTGAGAATCAGAGGAAGAACATGGATTCTGGTGGTGAATATAGCTGACAGACCTTGGTGGTCATTATGTGAGGCATCTTTTTTAAGGACAGAAATAACTTGAGGGATACTTTGAAGAGAAATAATAACTAACATTTAAGCCAATCCAGTCTTCTACATAATTTGACTTTAGGAATGGAAGTATAACATTAACAAAAGGGTAAGCCTAGCACAGTTAGATTTCATATACACATAAGAAAATGGGATTACTTTCTTTTTCACTTCCTATATTATAAATATATCAGTATATATTTATCTTAAAAATACTGACTAAATAATCCATTATGAGGATGTAAGAGTGTTTAAATGATTTCCTTTTGTTGGAATCCTAGGTTGCTGATGTATTTTTTTACTACTATAAATAATAGTTGAACAAGCATCCTTTGTATGAATATTTTTAAATTTATTTTTTTGCCTTTTCCTCCCTTAAGCCACTTCTTCCATCCTCCTGCACCCCATTACTGGCAACCATCAATCTGTTCTCTGTATCTATAAGCTTGGTTTTGGTTTTTATGTTTTTTTAAGATTCCATAAAGGGGAGACCCATATGGTATTTGTATTTCTCTGACTTACTTCAGTTAGTACAATGCCCTTGAGGTCCATCCAGGTGCCCACAAATGGCAATATTTCATTCTTCTTTATGGCTGAATAATACTCTTGTACATATAACCACAATTCCACTTAGGTTGTTTTCATACCTTGACTATTATAAATAATGCTTCAGTGAATATGGGGTTCAATATATCTGTATGAGTTGGTATTTTCATTTTCTTTCTCTAAATACCCAGATGTGGAATTGCTGGATCACATGGTAGCTCTATTTTCAATTTTTTGAGGAACCTTTGTACTATTTCCCATAGTGACTGCACCAATTCACATAAATAGTCCATAAGGCTTCCCTTTTCTCTACATTCTCTCCAGTACTTGTTATATCTTATCTTTTTCATAATAGCAATTTTAAAAAGTGTACAGTGAATACCTCATTGTAGTTCTGATTTGCATTTCCCTGATAATTAATGATGTTGAGCATCTTTTCATGTACCTGTTGGCCTTCTGTATATTGTCTTTAGAAAAATGGCTACTGAAATCTTCTGTCCATTTTTATATCAGAGTATTTGTTTTTTGTTGTTAAGTTCTAAGTTATTTATATGTTGTGGATGTTAATTTTGATTTGATAGAATTTGCAAAGATTTTTTACCATTCAGTTATTTGCCTTTTTACTTTGTTGATGGTTTCCTTTGCTGTGAAGAAGCTTTTTAGTTTGAAGTTGTCCCACTTGTTTATTTTTGCTTTTGTTGTCCTTGCTTTTGGAGTAGGATCCAAACACTCAGCACCAAGACTAATGTCAAGGAGTTTATTGCCTATGTTTTCTTCCAGGAGTTTTATGATTTCAGGTATTACATTCAAATCTTTATTCCATTTTGAGTTAATTTTTGTGTTGGTATAAGTAGTGGCCCAGCTTCATACTTTTGAATGTGGCTCTGGTTTTCCCAGCACCGTTTATTGAAGAGACGGTCATCTCATTATATACTCTTGGCTTCTTTGTTGTAAATTAATCATATATAGATGGGCTTATTTCTGGGCTCTCTATTCTGTACTATTGATCTATGTGTCTGTTTTTATGCCAGCACCATACTGTTTTAGTTACTATATTTTTGTAACAGGGTTTGAAAATAGTGTGATGTCTCTGGCTTTATTCTTCTTTCACAAGATTGCCTTGCCTATTTGGAGTCTTCTGTGGTTCCATACAAATTTTAGGTTTGTTCTGTTTCTATGAAAAACACCATTGGAATTTTTATAGGGATTCCATTGATTCTCTAGATTGCTTTGAGTAATATGGGCATTTTAACGATACTAATTCTTCCCATTTATTTATATCTTCTTTAACTTCTTTCATTAATGTCTTACAATTTTCAGTATACAGGTCTTTCACCTCTTGGTTAAATTTATTCCTATGTTTTTCATTCTTTTTGATGTAATCATAAATGGGATTTTTTTCTTAATTTCTTTCTCTGCTAGTTTTTTATAGGTGTATAGAAACAACAGATTTGTGTATTAATTTTGTGTCCTGTAACATTACTGAGTTCATTTATTCTAAAAGTTTTCTGACGGGTTCTTTCAGGTTTTCTAGAAATAGTATCATGTCATTTGCAAACTAGTGACAGTTATACTTCTTCTTTTCCAATTTGGATGCCTTTTATTTATTTTTTCTTGCCTAATTGCCCTGGCTAGCACTTAGCACTTCCAAAACTTTGTTCAATAAAAGTGGCAAGAGTGGGCATCCTTGTCTCCTTCCTGATCTTAAGGTAAAAGCTTTCAGCTTTTCACCATTGAATCTGATAACTCGCTGTGTGCTTATGATACATGGCCTATCCTATGTTGAGGTCCATTCCTTCTTTACCCAATTGTTGAGAGATTTTATTATAAATGGATACTGAATTTTATCAAATGCTTTTCCTGCATCTTTTGAGATAATCCTACAATTTTTATCTTCTGTTTCATTAATAGTTACTACATTGGATGATTTGCAGATATTGAACCAGCCTTGCATTCCTGAAGTAAATCCCGCTTGATTATGGCATATGATTCTTTAAGTGTATTGTTGAATTTGGGTTGCTGACGTTTGGTTGAAGATTTTTTTATCTGTTCTTTTCAGGGATATTGGCCAGTAATTTTCTTGTGATGTCCTTGTCTGGTTTGATATCAGAGTAATTCTGGCATCATGGAATGAGTTTGGAAGAGTTCCTTCCTCTTTTATTTTTTTGGAGGAGTTTGAGAAGGATTGGTATTAATTCTTTAAATGTTTGGTAGTAGTTACCAGTGGAGCTGTCTGATTCTGCACTTTCATTTGTTGGGAGGTTTTTGATTGCTGTTTCAATTTCCTCACTAGTAATCACTCTGTTCATATTTTCTATTCATAGTTCAGTCTTTGTAGGTTGTATGTTTCTAGGAATTTATCCATTTCTTCTAGGATATCTAATTTGTTGGCATTTAATTCTTCATAGTAGTCTGTGATCCTATGTATTTGTCATTTCATTTCTGATTTTATTTATTTGAGTCCTCTTTTTGTCTTGTTCAAGTTAGCTAGAAGTTTGTCAATCCTGTTTATTTTTTCAAAGAACCAACTCAGTTTCATTGATCTTTTCTGTTGTCCTCTTAATCTCTGTTTCATTTACTTTGCTTTAATCTCTGTCATTTCCTTTCTTGTACTAACTTTGGGCTAATTTTCTTCTTTTACTAATCCGTTAAGATGTAAAGTTAGGTTGTGTATTTGAGATTTCTCTTTATTTCTTGAGATAGACATTTATTGCTATGAACTTTACTCTTAAAACTGCTTTTGCTGTGTCCCATAAATTTTGGTATATATCTGTTTGCATTTGTCTCATAGTATTTTTTAAATTTATCTTTTGGTTTCTTTGTTGACCCATTCATTGGTAGCTCAGTAACATATTTTTTAATCTCCAGATATTTGTGAATTTTTCAGCTTTCCTCATGTAATTGATTTCTAATTTCATGCCATTGTGGTTGGAAAAGATGTTGAATATAATATGTAATTTTATTCCTCTTAAATGTATTAAGACTGTTTTGTGACCTAACATATAATCTGTCCTGAAGAATGTTCCATGTACACTTGAGAAGAATGTATATTCTGTTGCTTTTGGATGGAATGTTCTATCTCTGTTAAGTCCATCTGGTCTAATGTGTCATGTAAGGCTGATGTTTCCTTATTGATTTTCTGTCTGAATGATCTACCCATTGATGTAAGTGGGGTATTAAGTCCCCTACTATTATTTTATCTCTATCTATTTCACCCTTTAGGTCTGTTAATATTTGCTTTATATATTAAGGTGTTCCTCTGTTGGGTATATAAATATTTACAAATGTTATATCCTTTTGTTGGATTGGTCCCTTTATCATTATGTAATGTCATTCTTTGTCTTTTATTATAATCTTTGATTTAAAGTCTCTTT